CTAACAAGTCTAAGCACTGTTTTTACTGTTGTGTTATTTTCTTTGTTATATGTGTATATATCATATATACGACATTTAGAAATTAACTTTTTAAATTTGAAAATATTATATTTTTTCCAGCTATACAGTTGGAAGTACTTTTTCTTCTTCATTAAACAAAAATTCTGCTATGAAAAAGTTCAAAAAACAATAACCTTTGAGACGAAAAGAAAACTTAAATGCCAAAAATTGGGTTTCCGTGTAACTTTTATTTTTCCTAAACTGTTTTCTGCTTCTTCTCTTGGCAATGTTACTTTCAAGGTCACACTAACAACCAACAATAGCTTATCAAATATACATGCTTTTCCATTTACTGTTATAGCAAAATTTAGACGATTACAGTTACCCATTACTGGTATCTACAGCTGTCTAAGGCATTTATCCAGCAACTTTGCCCTAGTAGAGAGCAAAAAACAACCGTTAAACAAACGGGAAAAATGTTGAGGAGTGATACACAAGTCAATTGCGCCAGACAAAGCCTGCGGCCGAAATAAGCAAATATGTTAAGCTACTTTTACGATTATTAACTAATGCCGAAATGTTGCATATATATACACATATATGTATGTATATAATATATATATATGTACATAAATACTACGTACATATATAGATATATACAAACAAACCTATATTTTTGTAAATATTTGTCTCTATTTTTGTTTATTTCAGCAAACTAAAGCGCTCAATACTTTCTTCGCCTTTAGGCAAAGGGTTTTGCCATTTCAGTTTTTGTTGTTTGTTTTGAGCCTTTTCTTGTGTTTCTGCAACTTGAGAATGACAATTTGCTGTGTATTGTCAAATTACTTTCCTCAAACGCGCAAAACTCGTAATTTCTTCAATTATCTTGTTACCCCCCTTTCCTTTTAAAAGTTATTTTGACGTTGATTGAGAATAAAAGTGGAGTAAAATTATGAATAGAAAACAAAAATATATAATAACAAGAATAATATTTTGAGAAGAAGGGCTATAACTTAGGCTTCAATTAAAATTAAATATGAAAATGGTTGATTTAAAGATATTTATGCAGAATGATAGAGTACGAAAGTATTTTTAGCAAATTTATTACCCAAAAAAATATTAGAACTTGCCTCGATTTTCCGAGTTGACAGTTAGAAAAAAGAAGCTTCTGTTGACAACCGATATACATATAAGTTTTATTCTATATATAGACATCCTTATATTTGTACTTATTAAGGATGATAACACGCAATTTCAGTTTATACAATAATTAGGGTAATAGAATTAAAATTTGTACCGACTATTCCTCACTGAAGTTAAGTACTCATGGGATGTTTTGATCCCAGCGCCTGTACGAAATACCACCTGATGAAATTTCACCCGGATTGATAAGAAAAAATATTTACATATTTTAATAAAAATCTTTATTATCGTTTTCAAAGTAGGCTCCTTGACCCAATACAAGCCTGCGAACGCTTGATACAATTTTCCATACACTGGTTAGCCTCGGCTGAAACGGTTTTCATTGTCACCAGCCAATTTTGATTATTTCGTTTTCGGCTCATTGTTGAACAATTTCGACGACATATTCATTAGCACACGTCTCACCACCATTAGTTCTGTTCTCAAGCAAGATTTTTCTCGACGTCATTATTCCAAAAAAATTCTTCTTTGGTACGAGTCTAACATTGGCATTTAGTACGAGTCTAGCACGCTTCATACCCAAAACATTAACCGAAATGTAGTGAGTCGATTCGCAAGAGCTGGAATCCTCTGCGATCTCTCTAATACAACTCGATGACTTTCAAATACAGTTTCTTAAACTTTTTCGATGTCATCGCCATTGACAGAGGTATATGAACGATTCGCATGAGGCAAGGATCTTTTCGACTGCTGCATTCTTCGTAAAAGTTTTACAAGCGAAATAGATATTTGTCTCTTCTTCAGCTAACACCAGTCATTACCGCATTTAGGATAAGGCTAAGTAAAACAAGTAAGGAAGGGCTAAGTTCGGATGTAACCGAACATTTTATACTCTCGCAAAGTCAAATGGTATACTCCTTTGAGATTTCTTTGTGGATTGACTGATATTTTCGGTAGAAGGCCAACTATAGGCAATGGGGTCCATATATTTAGTACTTAGGGGTTTGAACAGGTTTCATTCAATTTAGACAATTTTTGGCCGCAAGGTGGCATACTTTAATTGCATTATTCGCGCAAAGTTTTACCCCGATATAATCATTGTTACCTGATTTGCATAGTGGAAAGTGAAAGAATCAGATGGAATTGAAAATGGTGTTACATGGGAAGTAAGCGTGGTTGTAGTCCGATTTCGCCCATTTTCACACTATGACATAGAAACATGAAAAGAACGTTATGCACTGAATTTGGTTGAAATCGGTTGAGCAGATCTCAAGATATGGGTTTTCACCTAAAAGTGGGCTGTGCCACGCCCACTGACTAATTTTGAAAGCGATTCCTATAAAGTCAATTTATACCATCTCAGAGATAAAATTTAATGTCTCTGGCGTGTTTAATGCTTGATTTATCGCGCTTTTAGTAGTTTTTAACAGTACCGTTATATGGGGAGTGGGCGGAGTTGCCACCCGATTTCAACTATTTTCACACCGTCAATAGAAGTGCTAAAAACATTTGCTTCTAGTGAATTTTGTTATTATAGCATTAGCGGTTTAGAAGATATGCACATTAAACCTATTAGAGGCGGGACCACGCCCACTTTTTAAAAAAAGGGTTTAACTGCAGATGCCCCTCCCTAATTTGATCCTGTGTACCAAATAACAGTCTTGTATCTTATTGCGGAGCTTAGTTATGGCAAGTTATTTGTTTTTGATTAATGGCGTTTTGTGGGCGTGGCAGTGGTCCGATTACGCCCATCTGCAATACCAACCGTCTCACGGTACCAAGAAACATGTCTACCAAGTTTCATTAAGATATCTCAATTTTTACTCAAGTTAGAGCTTGCACGGACGGACGGACGGACGGACGGACGGATAGACAGTCACCCGGATTTCAACTCGTCTCTTCATCCTGATCATTTATATATATATAACCCTATATCTAACTCGATTAGTTTTAGGTGATACAAACAACCGTTAGGTGAACAAAACTATTATACTCTGTAGCAACAGGTTGCGAGAGTATAAAAAATCCATTATTTTTCCAATAGATGGCTTTAGTAAACTGTAGCTCGAGTTATATATGTGTTTATATATATTATATTACTGGTCGAGTGCCTTCTCACTTTGAAAATACTTGCTTTAGACAGTGTACAGTTTATTGTTCCATTCTTCGAAAAGTTCGTTATAGCCAAAGTCCAAAGTTTTGTACGAGTATAAATTTCTTGCATATAATCTGCCCCTCAAGTACCCCAAGACCCGTTTCATCGAATATGAGTGGTGTGTCAGGTGTACGTTCAGTATCTCATAGAGACTTCTTTTTACATATTTTCAAGATTTATAGATTTTTAGACTAAAAGCGATACTACAAGTCATGACTCAAACATATTGTCATACTGAGTAATATTTATACAATTTCTTTTGAGCACCGAATATGGTGAAAAATTGACATGTGTAAAAAGAATACATTCACAAATCAAATCTGAATAAATTAATACATATTCACATGAAATTACATTAATTACAAGTATATGTTTGTACTGCAACTTTCATCTACACTACATCAGCGAATATATATACTTATATATAATATTAAAACGTTATTGTGGCAACAACATATGTTCTGTTAGCAGCACTCACTCGGAACAAATATTTACAAGCAATTTTCCATGTGGTCAACCAAATTGAATTCCATTTTGTTGCTCCACCCCCCAACTGACAGTACGGGGGCTGAAATGAAAGTATGCTTAAGTAATTTTTGCTTGTTTGTGGTGTTAGCTTCAATTGGGTTAGGAAAATTGGGTAGGTTGGCGGTCTCATAAATGCATATGCTTGTGTGTAAAAATATTTAAGCTGAGTAACCGCCGCTTGGCAGGGTTACCAAGTTGTTGCCTAATATATGTTTTCTATAAATAGGCATTTGTAAACATATGTTATGTAAAAGTTATGTGTGGTTTCTTTCATTTTGAGTGTTGTTGAAGCATTTGAGGGTGTTGTTTAGGGAGAGTGTACTTTACATATTGAAAGCAAATAGCATAGAAAAAACGTATCTTCTTGTTCTATAAGAAATTAAAGTTATGTGCCTCACCTAAGGGTTAAATAAAGTTGTTTTAAAATGATATATCAGTGTTTTAATATTTTTATTTTTAGTGACATCTCCTACAGAAAACTTTCTTAAACGTCAAAAATGAATTAATTGAACAAAATCTTTAATCACGTGGCAACTCTTCATCAAAATATATACTCCTAAGCTCATTTAAGCTACTTTAATTTGATAACAATATTCAATGAAAGTGAATGAATTTTAAACAGATGGCGGCCCTCCTAAAAATAATTTCAGTTGTGGTTTTGTATTTTTTTTGTATTTTTAATTATTTTTTCCTAACCTGTGCCTGTGTCAGACGCAATGTTTTCTTAAGCTTGCTTAGTTTACTAGTCAACAATCTTTATCAAATCAATTTTATTAAAATAAATTTTTGGCACAGATGGCAACTCTTTCCAAAAATATTTAAAAACATTTTAAGCTCTTAGATTTTATTATGTATTTTTAGTGAAGTAGTTTTTTTGACTTCAAAATTTCCAACAGGGGCAACTCTCCATCTTTTATTTATAAAATACTTTCTATCAGGTGGCAACATTTATCCCTCAGTAATTTTGTTTTTGACTTGATATATCCAAACTGGCGGCCTTTTTGTTTTCAATTGGGAATTCTCGCTCCATTTTGGTGAAAATAGTTTAGAGAAACTTAAATGATTATTTAGGTCGAAGAAAATGTCATTTGTGTACTTTAAGGAGTTCCTATTCGAGCAGTAAAAAAAAGCAGGAGAACGTCTGAAAGTGATTTATGTTTTTATATTATATGTATATATTTTTTCATGATGAATTTTTTTTATAGCTTCATACATCGCATGGTGAATAGTTTCTATCTTGAAAAACTACTGATATCTTCTGCAATTAATCCACCTCATCGGCGGCTGGCTTGATGTAGTCATTAAATGTGATAGTGACATCAATTCTTTGCATATTTTCAAACTGTTCCACAAGTCCATTAAGACTCTCAGCTGGCAGGCGCCTGTCGAAAGGATAGCCCATCGTACGCCTATCGGGATACAGTTTGTCGCGCAGGCCACAGAAGGAAGCTGCATTGTCATTGCATAGTGTGGCATCTTCATCAGACACTTCGTTAGATACTTCGTTAGAAACATCTATGCTAAGATTTTCGAAAGAGCAAAAATAGTTTAGGCACTAAAACGCTTACAAATATTGTGTGAGAGTATATGACTGCATTAACCGCAGACTGAAATTCCAACAGGTCTTAGTTCACACGCTCAAGCACTTCACTAATGTGTACACTTACCAATTATGACATTCTCTTTGCTGTCCCCGCTGTTGGACCGCATCGCCGGCATAGTCCGAAATCATGACAAACAAATCAAATTGCATACCACGAGTTTTGCCCTTAGGCAGTAGCATATAATCTGGCCAACCGCAACCGCAGAAGTGTAGACGTGAGTTGAGCTCCGGATCTGCGTCTGAGAGTGCGTCCTTATTGGTGGTGCGGCCAAAGGTGCGCTCAACGGCGATAGTGACGGAGGATTCCACGGAAAGCCGCTTCAATTGGTTTTGCCCGGGGTAAACTTGAGAAAACACAGGGCACAAATAAATACAAATATGTGCTGTGTCATCGGTAGTTACTTACGCTTAACGGTAAACTTATCCAATTCAATTGCCAACAAGCGCTGTTCTTCCAACTTCAGTGGCTTGCCACGTTCGTCCGTTTTCGGGCAGAGGAAAATGCGACAAGTACCGTTCTTCACATGCTCACATTTGTTCTCAATCACAAAGCTATACTCGAAAGGTGCATGCTGAAGATGTGTGTACGAGGCGTGCAAGCCGCTATCGGCCGTAAAATCCAAGCCAGCCGCCAAATCAACTTCGGAGTTTTGCCAAAATGTCTCAAAATGATTCGGTTCCTCAAGGTGCTCGTTCTAACTTTAATTTCACGTAAATTGATGTCGGCAAAACTGAGCTCTTGCTCACTGTAGGGTGGTAAGAGTCTCTTGAATTTACTGAATATATTGTTTATGTAAGTGTGCCAGCGATAGAAAACTGGATCACGCATAGCGGTCATATTGTGTCCAATCACGCCGAACTCCTCCATATGCCGATGATCTGGATCGTGTATGCTGGCAATTAAATTGTGACCCATATTATGTAGTTGTCCATAGTATTGCACATTGATGGAGAGATCGGACTCTTCAATGATATTGCCGAGTATATCGATGCCGGTAACCTCGTCCAGTGGATGCTTGTTGCCACGTGGCTAAGAAAAAGTGCTTAATTTATTTTTGTCGTTACTTAATTCTTCGCATTACTTACATCTACTACAAATCCCTGATCTATGGCCGCCAAAATGCGATCGCTCCAACGTTCCAAATCGGTAATCTCGATAGTTGTATCGTCGCGATTCACATCCTGCAAACAGAGATTACCGCTACGTCCCGGATAGGTGCGTTGATGCGCATGATCTAACAATTTCGGATAATAACCCTCTTCGATGGGTTCGCGTAGATTACTTAACGGCAGCGCCTTGGCTAGTTTATTGCTAAAGCGTTCGGCATTGTAACGCGCCAAAATCTGTTGATGCATATAGTAGAAGAGTTCACCGCGCCGGTCCTTGTTGACGATTTCGCGTGTACCGCTATTCGGATAAACCAAGTGCCAGTGCCAGTGATGCATATTCACGCCAATATCTTCACGGAAATATGCCAAACGTTGTTCGAATTCGCGATCGGAGGCGGTATAGTTTTGGGGAATTTCTACGTGAGCCTTAATGAGGTGATGGAAATGTATAAATTATTGTAAGAAGAATGCTGTTGAGTGTGCGAAAAGAAATATTCGACACTTGAGCTATGAATATCAAAAAAATGATTTCTGAGGACCTCATTACAAATGCGTTTAGAAAGTCCATTTAAGAACTGATAATTGAACACTTTGATGTTAAGGCAGTATTTGAGATTTTTGAATGAAGACCGAAGTAGTTTTAGGTACTCATTAAATGAGAGTCTTAGTTACTATTGAAATAGCTTGATCAAACCCCAGCAAGCCAACCAAGCTAGAGTACATACACTTTGTGTATTTACCTTTTTATTGCCTTTAAACTCCAAAGCTTTACGCATCTCCTTAAATGCTGAGGGCTCAATAAAATTTGCTGGAAATATTTCAGCCACTGGCGGTACCCAAATGCCACGGGTCTCTGAGCGATGCAGCAACGCAACTGAGTAACAATATTGGAAGAGCATAGCATTTAAGCGAATCCTGTGAAGCAGAAAATATTAAAAGTTCTCTAAGCATCCTTAAAATGAGAAAAATTTAAATTTTACCTAGTATACACACACAAGCTGAGAAAATGGTCTAAATCCTCAACTTCCATCAGCAATCTGATGAGTTTCCCAGCAATTTCTTTATGCAACGTATTAAAGAGAGTAAAGTTTTGTTTCACACTCAATTTATCAGCGAAGGATAGATCTGGCGTTGACGGCAGCTCCTTCAAGGGGAACTATGTGGAAGCAAATAAAGTACATAAATAAATAAAACTGTTACTAGTATACAGTATAGATTTACCTTTATGTGCTCGCTATTCGCATAACGTTCCTGCAACATCTCCTTCACGCCACGATCACACTCCAAGTAATGGGAATCGGGTAACTCGAAAATACACTTGCCATTGTCGCGACAAGTGTAGATGGGCTCCAAAGGGCTCTGAAAGAGCATTTGAAATTGTTTTATATAATTTGTCATTTTCGTTTTCTTAGTCGTGTTCAGCACAAGCGAAAGTAAACTGAGCACACTTATAGCATTGTCTGCTTTTTTATACGAGTGGGTGCTGCGTACAATTTCACCAACTGCAACAACATTTTTACTTATCAGTCTTCAATGCTGCGGTTCATTGCATCAATCTTTTTTTTCATATATTAGATTGTATGGTATTTTTTCAAAATTAGTCATAATTTAAGAAGAAATTTTAATGGATATCGACGCTACTGAAGTTTGCCCATACACGCGTATAAATTTGTGGTTTTTACTGTATATGCAGACTTTCCCTATATGTGTTGTAATTAGCACTAAAATTACGAAAGGTCATTGCCATTCCAAATAAAGAATTTTTCAGCGAATATTGCATAAAAATAAGTTAATGTTTTCAAGATCCAAAGCGCTCTCGCGGGAAGCACAATTTGAGTTTTATTATGAAGCTTGAAATAATTTTTGCAATATTATATTAACACCCTGTTTTCGGTTGAAAAGTTTCGATTGTGATCGCATTGTTCTTGCTCTTGAAATTTATATTCGTCCTCCTACTTTTTTCTGAACTAAAAGTGAGCTCAAAGACCAGCGTTCTGATATTTTTCTGATACTTTGTGCTCGTTTTAGATTTATTTCCGTTATGGAATTTTTTGATTCGGTCTTCGCGCTCAAAGCTCACCCTTAAAAGCTGTGCAAAAGCTTAAAAATATCGATTAATTCCAAAACCAAATATATATGGATTACTTTTAAATTCGATTATAAATCGATAAATTAAATGTCTTTATAGGTTTCAACATGATTTTCAGTATAAATTGTCCATAGTTTTAGATCATTAAAATCCAGTATTAAATTACTACTTGCTTTTTAAAGCCGTATACCATAAAATACTACATATTGTTGGATTTTGGAATTAAGTTATCGATTAATTGTATTTTAATCGATATTTAAAAATTTGTTAAAAATACAATAATAAAAATGATTCAAGCTTTCGGTATTTCTTGGTCTTAATATGTAATTCAATGAACAGTGTTTGTTGGTTTATGCTAAAATCTCCCAAATGATTGAACCTGAACCTTCTTTTTCGGGACAGTCTAAATAATATAAATATATTAAATATGAACAGTTTGCAAATTAATTTTTTAATACATTTATTGAGTAAATGGGATAATAGTAGATATTCATATGATGCTTTGCATAGCATTATTTTTAACTGGAAGCAAAATAATAGATATTGAAAGAAATTAGAAACGAAATGAACATTAATATTCCATATCTCGCTTAAAGCTACAAATGCTTTATATGAGTGCTTGTAATAGGCCTTCTCTTAGGTTTCTAATTGCGCTTCCTATCGAAAACCTCATTGCGGAAGATTATCTTGATAGGTGTCTTTTTCATGTTACTGAAGTTCTCAGTTAGTGCGGTCAAAGTGTCAGCCGGTAGACGTCTATCGAATGGATAGCCCATAGCACGCTTGTCGGGATATAATTTGTCCTTAAGACCACAGAATGAAGCAGCATCGCCACAGACATCAGGACTGACGTGAATGCAAGATTATTTATATATTATTATGCATTTTATTTTTTAAGCTATACTCACGCGTTGTTCTTCTGCAAGACCGCGTCGCCTTCGTAGTCTGAAATCATAACAAATAGTTCGAATTGCATACCCTCGGGCTTACCCTTCGGTAGTAACATATGTGCAGGCCAGCCGCAGCCGCAGAAACGGAATTCAGCCAATCTTTGTGGATCATCGGGCAAATGTTCGCCACCGATACGGCGGAAGGAACGTTCGTAAGGTATGGTTACACTGGAGTTAAAGTAAGATTGGTTGATTTTGTTAGCGCCAGGCATTACTGTAAAATAATAGAAAAAATTAGTTCTATTTACTGCTTCAACTATAGATTTTACTAAAGTTTTTCTTAAATGCTTTCATCAAAAATTTCCCAGAAGCTGTTATGAAAACTTTAACTTCTTCTTTCTCATAAACTTTCCTTTAAGCTCTCTTAAAAGCTTTTTGAAAAACTGTAATTAATTCATTTCGTTTAAGCTATCTGAAGGGCTTTTAGAAAACATTTCAGTCAACTCTTTTTTGTGAATATTCTATAGTTTTTACGAATCAACTCACAATTAACGTTAAACTTGTCCAATTCTATGGCAAGCTGTCGTTGTTCGTTCAAAGTCAATGATGTGCCACGCTCGTCGGTCATGGGACATAAGAAAATACGGCAAGTTCCGCGCTTTGGTGTACCACTCTCGTTATTCACTTCGATTAAGTACTCGAATGGAGAATGTTGTAAATGTGTGAACAATGCATAAACACTGCCACTTGGTCCGAAATCTAGACCAGCAGCCAAATCCACATCAGATTTTTCCCAATAGGTGAGCAGAGTGTTTGTAATGTTCTTTGTTGGGCTCAAGATGCGAACATCAGCACGTGTCACCGTTATGCCGTTGTAACCGAGCTCAGGTGCGCTGTACACGGGCAACTTCTCCTTGAAACGGTTGAAGAGTATATCCAAGTAGCCATGCCAGCGGTAGAAGATGGGATCACGCATAGCGGTTGTGACATCGCCCATAACACCGAAGTCTTCCAGGAAACGATTGTCTGGATCGTGCGAGAATGAAATGACATTATGCCCCTGATTGTGAAGATCGCCATAGAAACCGGGATTGATAGAGAGATCGCTCGCCTCCATTAGATCACCGAGTATATCGATACCTTTGACTTCATCCAGTGGTATGTTGTTACCTCTTGACTACAAGGCATATGATATAAATTACGTTTTACCAATACATTTACATTGTCAAGTTCATAAGAGAATACTTACATCAGTTACATAACCCTGATCGATGCTTTGCACTACGCGACTGATCCAGCGTTCAATGTCAGCTAATTCTAATACAATTCCATCGCGATCGATATCCTTCAAAGATGTTTTTGTAACACGTCCCGGATAGGTGCGACTATTAAGACTGCACAAAATTTTCGGGAAGTATCCTTCCTCAACCGGTTCGCGTATATTGTTCAATGGCTGTAGCTTAGCTAAAGCATTGCAGAAGCGTTCCACGTTGTAACGCGCCATCAGCTGATGATGCATGTAGTAGAATAGTTCACCACGACGATCCTTACGCACCACTTCAATGGGTCCCGAGCCGGGATATACCAAATGCCAATGCCAGTGGTGGCTATTAACACCGATATCCTCACGAAAGTAGCTTAAACGTTGCTCCTCTTCACGGTCGGAGGCGGTGAAGTTTTGTGGAATGTCAATGCGGCGCTACAAAGGAAATATATTGTTTTAAATTTACAGTAATTCCACTACTCTCTCGCGCCACTTACCCGATTGCCTGGATCTTGGACCAGTTTGCCCTCAGCGCGTGCCTCCTGAAACACGGACGGCTCGACAAAGTTTTGTGGAAATTGCTCCACAATTACTGGCACCTGGAAATTACTGGTATCCTTGCGATGTTGCACAGCTACGGCGAAGGCATATTGAAAGAGAAAAGCATTGACACGGTCCTTAACATAAGCAGCCAACGAAATGAAATCTTCCTCGGTGGTGGGCTCCAGCAACAGTTGTATGAGCTGCGCGGCAATGCGCCGATGTGGTGCATAGAAGAGTGAGAATTGCCGACGTTTGGTAAGTGGCTTAGCGAAATCCAAATTGGGTTTTTTCTTCAAATCGCGTATAGGTATTTTCACGTCGACTTCTTCGCCAAAACGATTCTGTATCTCCTCCTTGACTTCGGCATATTGTTCCGTATAGAAGCTATCAGGCACGTCTAGTACGGCTTTGCCACTGTCGCGTGTTGCGAATACTGGTTCCAAGGGGTTTTGGAAGAGTAAGTTCAGCGCCTTTTTATTCTGTTCGCTGGACATGTTGATATCTGCTGCTTACTGCAAGTTATTGAAGTTAGACGGTGGTGGGTTGCGTCGAAACGACTGTGAAAATGCTTGGAATTCTGAAACCTTTTATACTCTTTTGATAAGGATTCGCACGTATTATCTGCTCCAGTTTGTTGTTGTCTGCGTACTTTTTCAATAGCTGCATAGTTTTATCATATTTTTGCTGATAGGATACGTAGCTTTGAAAACCGCAAACGTTTTTAGGTAAGCTTGTAGCGTGAGAACTGAATGTGTGAAAAATTCTTTCGTTTGATATATGCAATCATATCGGATTTTTGTAGTTTAGCAAAGGATAGACATTTTAAAAGAATATAGACATTAAAAATATATTAAAACGCGTTGCCGAAATCTATCTTCTGATAATTATTAGTCTACATAATAATTGACAACTTCTATTTGGTAGAAATATAAGAACTATTGGGTACTGATGTCTTCTCCAAATTCATAAAATACTATCTGATAATTTATATTTCTTAAGTTAAGGTCCTAGGTTAGAACTTTACATTAGAGACAATTACTCTAAACCTGAAAGTAGTGCTAAGGAAGTATATTCGACCAAATGCTTCAGATGATAATTTTTTACTCCTAATTCAAAACTAAGAATTTGAATTCAAGCGCGATTGATTATTAAAAGCACTACCATAACACTCAAGATATACGTATTAACGTTTCTTCTTCTTAATAAAATGACAATTTTTTATGCATGGCAGATAGTCGTATATTTGAATAACCCTGTAAAGGGTATATTAAGTTTGTCGCAAAGATTTTAATACCCAGAGGGAAGCGTCGGAGAACGCATAAATTTTATAGATAACTGATCAACGTGACGAGCCGAATCGATTTATAACTAATCCCTCAGTTTTTGGTATATCGATCTGAAATTTTGCACACGCTTTTTTCTCCCAAATTAGCGGAACCTTTGATATTGGACCACTATAGCCTGTGGCTGCCATACAAACTGGACTATCAAAATCAAGATTTTATTTAGAAAACTATTTTATTTGACATGATATCTTCACGAAATTTGACATGAATATTTGTTCAAGGCATTCGTCCATTTTATTAGTGCAGGATTTCCTTTAAGTTAGTATTGGATGTCAACAGACTCAACTTACAGTCGTTGTAACCGAGCTCAGACGATGATCAGAAACACGAGTTTAATCTGCTATGTTTAGGAAAAACCATTAAGAGTACTCATTGGAGTTGTGAAGAACTCCAAGTTTAATTAGGCAATTTTTAAGTTAATACCATAGTATGGATAACTGATCAGTACTGATTCCTTGCACCCAAGGGTCAAGCCTGGCCAGTACTCCCTTAAAGCGTTCTAATTTACTTTTTAGTTCTACCATATCTGCATTTGGTTGGATTTTAGCTACACCTTAAACTCACTCTCAAATTTGTAATATGAACTCTCAATTATCAGTTTCTGTGAATGTCTACAATAGTAACAACAATTTGTACGTTGTCACTCAACATAATTGAAACAATTAATTTTACATTATCATTTAAACAATAACGGCAAAATTGCAGAGTCAATGTAAGAAAGTGACAGGGGAATCTATAGACAAAAGCAAGCCTGCGCTGAGTTGGAATGAAGTAAAAGCTGTCATTGCGGCAACGTGGCGTATGCGCTGGAGTATCCTCTATTTCCGGGGGTTTCAGGGGGGTAAATAGAGGAGAAAAGCTCTTTCAATATATTCACATCTTTACATTGCTTTATATAATAATTTGTTTATATCTTTGTTATTGCATTGTATTCATAAAATACCGTAACAGGGCTATAGTCTGGCCACCACAAATAACAATTGCTTACATTCTTCGGCGCTTGCCAAGAACAGCTGTGGCTATTGTCATTTTCGCCGCTTCAAATTACGTGCACCAATTGAGTTTACTAGAATACTTTACGATTTCCTTTATTTTGAGGATGGCTGTGAAAACGTGCGGGTATGTGGCACATCATTTAGTTTATTTAACTTCGTTGACGGGGATGAAGGCTTGTCATGTTTGTGATATTACGTGGTACTTAATGGCTAACCAGCGAGAGATACCTGTGTTAGAGAGAGGAGTTTTCTAGTAGTATATTAATAATAAGCTGTGGAGCCATTGTGACTAGAAAAGGCTAAGTATAAAAGAGAAAGGAAGAGCAAATTACTGAATCATTGATGCTTCGTTTCAATGCTATTTGGCTATTAGAACAAAGGACAATTGGCTCTTAATAAAATTTGCTTTAAAGCTTTGCAGATATGGAAGATCTTACTCATCAATTTATTTTTGATTAAGTCAGGAGCGAAATTGTGTCCGGCGTGCTATAAAAGCATTCAAAAGGTCTTTGTAGACTACTTCTGATCATCGGTTACCATGATATGATAATACCTACCAATTTTCTTGATATATATTTTTCATAAAAGATCTATTCGAAGAATATTCGGCCTCCTAAATACAAATTTGAATTGAATAATTGAAAAAAAATTTGATATATAAAAATGTTCGAAAGGCTTTCGGATACTTTTGATATTTGAATATCTAGGAGAGTACTTGGGTAATATATAACGATAATAACTACCGATCTTTTCGATCAACCTTACGTGATCTTTTCGAATAAACTGCGACATATTTTTTTTTTCTCTTCAAAGTAGATTTGAAGGAGTAGAAAAACAATTGAAAGAAGTTAGGTAAGATTTTATTTATGGCTTGCTATAAAAAAATCCAAAAGGCTTTCCGAGACCACTTCTCATCATCGGGTACCATTGGGCTATATACAATGAGTACAAAAGTATTTATCGATTTTCTTGATCTAACTTTAGGAATTTATTCGAAGAATCTTCGACCCAAGAAGCAAAATAATTGAAAAAAGTTTTGATATATTATCATTCCGAGACGAAATATCCAAAAGGTATAAGGAATGATTATACAACCGCTAGATGATATCTTGGATCTTAAGAAAAAATAAAAAACGTTTTTTGGACCGAAATTCTATCAGTTGATTGAATATAGTCATTAAAAGAACCGCCTGGAAGGTCTAATAACGATATGAACGCTGGCCTTTCCAGAAAGAAAGTCACGAGAACAAATGAGTTAGACTCAACAATATATTAAGGTAAGAAATCTTTCTTCTTCTGCTGCCACGTTGGCAGTCGTATAAGATACGTATAACTACAAAAGTAAATTAATATATTTACAACAGTTTGTGACCCCTTAATATACAAGACGACCCCACTGTGGAGATTAAGGTCACTTTTAACAAATTGTTAATCTGCCTCCCTTTATGACTTAGACGTCTCGACGATTTGCGCACAATTCTAAGATTAGATTGGCGGGCAAGTTTACAGTCGCATGCTGTTTCAGCGCGTTTGTGGCAGGTCGTAATGACAGGCAGGTGGGCAGTGGCAATAAAACAATGCGTGACAGCTGCGACATGCCGTGCAACCCACAGCAAATTGCATATCACACCTTAATGGAAATTTTATTAATGACAATGACATTAATAAAGTGCTAATGTTAATGCCACATTACTGCGTTAGCGTTTATGAAGAACGCAAACAGGTAATTGTCACAGTGAGACACAAGACGCTGCTAATGAAGTTGGTAAGTACGAAGGCATATTAGGGTGGTCCTTAACATAATAAAGAATCGATCTCATTTGAAGGCACCAAATTGATTGTTCGTTGTGTGCGCAGAACACCCAGGTATGAAAAAAAAACACCGCCGCATATCGAGAAAGCGCCTAGAGCCTGCCTCAAATTTATTAAGGCGGCTAACATCAATTCCATCCAATTTGCCATGTTCGTCGAAAGTATGGCAACCGGGTTGCTTTAACCTCAGTCTGCCGAAAGCTCGACAGTGGAGGAGAAAGTGTCCAGATGTTTCCACCGTCCTACAACTTTGTAAAGTTGCTTTGTCCAAAATCTTTGGACTCACTGCGTTGGTGCCAATGGGATAGTGTCCAGTTAGGACATGGAACCTTGCTAAGAGCTAGTAGCTTAATGGCTCGGTTACTACCCACTCTGGGGCAAAAGTCTTAGCTCCAACGCTAGAACGCATGAAGACAGGAAAACACCGGCTTCTTTCCATCCTGTTCAAATATGGATACGTGATTAAGAAGGATTAAATTTATTTACGATATCTTTGACTATACTTTTATCGCTGTATGTACTGCGGCCTAGGCATTCGAAACCAAAAATGTTTCCTCATACATTTAAGTACCACCCTAATGTTTATTATACACTAGTGTACGTAAACATATATATTCAATTTCTACTGTAGTTAACTGCATCCTTCTTTTCCTCAGCTGGGCGTAGCTGCAATTTACCAAATTGAGACGTCTTCGCACTAAACTGAATTGTTTGCGTCAAGTGGGCGGTGTAGGGTTGATTTTTTTCGAACATTCTTCGTCGTAGACAACCTTATTGCTCGGATGCGAGTCTCATGATAGTTGGCTAGCAAACTAAACCGAGCGAAAAATGGGCAAGAAATGGAGAACTTTGGAAAACATAGAAAAGCAAGCCTTTACTTGGTTGCTTAATACATATTAAACAAATACCCGTTTATATGTGTGTGTGTGTCTTTTGAACCTCTTTGCGGTCTTACGCAAACAACTTCAAGCATTTTGAAGTCTCAAGTTGCTCTTTTTACCGCTGGTGTCTCTTGCCTTCACAGCACTTTCCTTCACTCTCTTCTGTGTCCCTCCTTCTTTTTCACTTGCTATTTGGCTTCTCTGCTCTGGAATTTTCAAGTAGAAAATAGTGAATTAAAAGTTAAAACATGCACTATTATGAACTATATTGAACTGAAATTTTTTAACTTTTGAGCAGCATGTGTCACTTGTGGACTTTCTAAAGAATCATCCGAAGTTACTGCTTTTGATTGGATCGCTTATATTCTTTGATGATGGGGGTTTTGGTATTTAATATTGAGATTTTCTAATCGCTAAGTTATTAATATTTTATTTTGAGCAAAGAGCGAAGAAAATGTGCGATCAGAGTTGCCTTACTACTTAGAAGTGCTTTTATCTCATACTGCTACATGCAATTCCAATATCCCAAGACAACTCGCCATTTGCTTGCAGATATGGTTCATTGGTTTTCTTGAGCCAGTTGCGAGTTGGGGTAAATGGATTTTAGTATCGCATCATTTCCTCTATTCCGTCAGCGGTGGAGAGTTTCGATGGAAGGCAGACGGGAGCGCGACATCGCATCTTTGCTAATCTAGCTCCCTTCCAGACCTCTCCAACTCTGGTTAACCAAGATTCACTCTCACACTGAGGACGTGACCTTAAGGTTTTGGTGGATTCCACCTCATGTGAGCTCTGCCGCTTGACTGATAAGATAAAGTTATCCTCGCCGCCGCTTAGCACTTTTTTAGCTCACTCAAAGATGTTGGCATTCTACTCATATTTCTCAACAGTCTGCCTGATACCTTCAACTTCCTTGCTGCCGTGGTCTGTTTTCTACCGGGACTTTTAACATAACCTGAGGTGCCCGATCTTCCCATTCTCCACTTTTAAAGGATATTTCTTTCGCTGCCTTTCGTTTACGGAACACTGTCCGGTTTCGAGTTCGGTTCCGACTCCGGACCAATGTCCGCATCGTTGTTTTTTATCTGTATTCATGTCTATTGGTTCCCCACTCGGAGCCAGTCAAAAGTTATCTATGTTAGGAAGCCAAGGCGAGGGTTGACACACGTAATTGTGGGGCAATACGTTCAGAGTCATTCAGCGCAACGAAGGAGTCTTCTCAACCTACACCTGTTACATCAGCTTAATGCTGACGGGATAGGAACGTACTGTTAGGTCAGCCAAGAGATGGAGACAGTATCGGCTCAAACCCAACAGGCATTTCTGCAGGGTGTCACTCCTACGTACTCAGGTGACCGAATATCTTAAGCACCAGCTCAGCGTTCAAAGGAAATCCAAAAAACTTCAGTCCTGAAATCATAGTTTGAGTCAAGTTCGCGGCCAAAGGTCCGTTAGGAATTTGACAGGCTTAGAAGGCCGCTGCCCAGTTAGCCTTATCCAGACAGCACCACACTGAGCTGACCTACTTTACATATCTCAGTGATGCCCACATACATTCCATATATAATTATATGTATATGTAAAATTTGGATATGCTCCATTAATTTTAATAATGATTGTTCTCTGTTTCGAGACATATGTATATGCATGATATATTTTTATATAAAGACCAATAGAAATCACCAGTTTTTAAAGCCACTTTGAGTCAATTTCGAAATGAGTTTACTTGTTTTTGTTCAAAAATCAATTGCATTTGATGAGCATGAGCGTCTCTGTTTTGAAAGCATACCCATGCGTATTTTCTCCATTCAAATGTAATTCTATGGAATTATTAAGAATCCAGTTAGCTTCAAATCAATATGCTGGTCAGACTGCCAGGTTGCCAGATTGACAGGTTGTTTCGGTGTTTTTGGTCATGCGCTGCATTTAGCCGCAACGAATTGCTTTAGGTTGTCGTTGTAGACGAGGGGAAGTGGATGGCAAGTGGAAGATTGTCAATATATGTACATATGTATATACATACCAATACACGTGCAAGTCAAAATTTATGTAGAAGCACGTTAAAGCACGTCTTTCGATGTACTACGCTGAACATTTCTGGATATTATTCTATTTCATTTGAAAGTTATCCATTCGAATATATTCTTCTTATTGAATATGTTGGTATATACAAATGTATGTATGTATGTATATAAATATATGAATATTTACATAATTCTCGAAATTCTTTTGATGACCATGCTAGTTCTTTAGCAATGATTATTTTAAATTTTAAAAGTTGAGTTGTAAGGTAGGTAAGTTGTAAAAATAGCATCATCGATATTTTTATGAACTGAATTGATATGAGCATCATTAAAATAATATATTCCTCTTTATGTTTGGACAGCCGAATTACTGACCTAGAAAGTGTGAGATAGAGAGAGAGAGAGAGATAGAAAGAGAAAGTGTGTGAGTAATAAAAGTAATCAGCTGACGGTTGCGGAACATTAAGAACAATATATATAAATACATACAAACGATTTATTTAAATTAAAGAGTGGCGAATCGAATAAATTATTAATATAAATACGAAATATGTATACACATAATTAGCTATGTTTTTTGCCGCTAGAATAATAATAATGTGCTCAATTGGATCACTTTGTTATTGCTCTCATATGCAAAGTTTTTCAAAAGAGCGCAGAGGTCTTTGCCACACTTCTTGCATAAGTATACGAATATTCGTGCAGAAGGCTTAAGTCGTCTTTGATCGAGCTTAAGAGTATCTATTTCTTGTTAAAAATATGTCTACAATAAGTTTTTTCTAAAATATGTGATTTCATCTACTCGGGATTCGCGCCTATGATCTTTCGTATAGCAGTCAGACGGTCACACACATATCGGGTGTGATTAATATTACATAACCGTTCCGATTGTAATTAATATTGCATGATTACATTCTAATTATTAGTTATCTGTTTTTGAGTGAGTGATTCCGGTGTTTATTTTCAAAATTAGCAAGGCCATCCCATAATTATCATATGTAAAACTTCAATGACCGCAAAATATTACAGTCAGTAATTGTCGAGCGAAGATGAAGTTTTTACAAATAATGATACAGATATTAATGATTTTATTACTGCACCATAACCTACAAAATAAATTCCCGAAGGTTCGATTTGTTTACATTTGATAAATATTTTAAAAATTCATGTGCATTAAAAAACTTACAGAGCAAGTGATGTTGAACACTTACACGGAGTTTAACTGTACTACTGTTAGCAAATTGTCCTGTTACATAAGCAAAAATACGCAACGCAGCAGCATCTCCATCAAAATGCAATACAAAAAGAATATAAAACGCTTCAGCTTAAACTTTCTCATTGTATTGCCATGGCGTCCTGCGGACTTTGTGCTGCTCAATTTAACCCGTTTGAATGGTTGCCAATTCATGGCGAATCGGAATCAAGGGTCGCTGCTGCATATTTTTCTTAACTCGATGAAACGATATAGCAACTTAATGGAGGGATGTCTCTACATGCGTAACAAATTTTATTATATTCGTGGGCTACGCTTGGATTTGAATGCAATACCAGCAGTTGCGTTCGACACCGATATGAAATCGTGGTTTGAGATTATTCACGAGGGTGATGTACTGTTTGATGTCTTCGTGCATAGTCACATGCAATTGCGGCGGAATGGATAGTTTGGGAGAGATTTGTCGGATAAAATAAATTTTTTAAACAAAAGTTATAATAATAGAGACTGTGTTCAGTTCAGTTTTCGTGTGATTTTATGTTTCTCTTTCTCTTGTTTGCTCTACTTCACACGTGCACAAGCGTCAAGCAATCTTTGTAAAATGAGCACCAACACTTCTAAATTAGGTGAATATCCAAGGGCATATTGAGCTTCTTCAGCTTCTGAGCTTTTTTTTTTGGGAAGCCGCCATCTTGTCAATAACTATAATTTTTGACAAGTTCTTCGATCGTTTGCTGTATTAATCTATGGTAATATTAAGTTTTCGCTTTTTTGGTTTGAGATAATTTTAAGAAAAAAAATCTTCATTACCGCCAGACAACTTTTTTTTGGAGGTCATCCTGGAGATCAACTAAGGGATCAAGGGAATCCAAATTTTATGAAAATCAGTCGCCGATTATTAAAGTTCATTAAAGTCTGCAAATAAATTTTTTTTGTTTATTTATTACATTAAATGACTCTTCAAGGAAAAAAATTCACAAAAAAACGAGTTATTTCTGCTTTGCAAGCTAAATTCATCCACCGAAACTAAACAAATATTAAAACTCTTTCTAGCATTATATTAAGAATATAGTTCCATATAATTTAGCTGCATATGCAGGGTAACTTGCATAGATAGAAGATCACTGAAATTGTGCACATAAATCAATATCACTCTGTCTCTCTCAATGCTCTTTAACTCACTCCATTCCTCTTACTCGACCTCGTGGAAAGTACGTCGCAAGTACTCGTCGAAATCGAAAAATCGAATGATTGGTTCTGATAATTTACTTAAGGGAAGCAGTACGAAAGGCCACTTTTTCCTTCCTTCTCTGCTAATGAAAGATTCGTCTAATTACTAAATCGGAATTTCTAATAATTAGTAGCTAGACAAGCATTCGAAATTGAATATATTTTCACTCAAACACTCCTAGGTGTCAAAATGAATTACCTAGGAATTTTTAGAATCATATTAACCGTTATTTGGCTACATAACGAGCTGCAAAAAGTACAAGCTAAAGTGGGCCGCCGTATTTAGCACTATATATTATTCTATATACTTGTATTAACCATTGAAATAAATTTGCAGACTAACTTAGAGCTCACCTACACTGGTTTCAATTGCACCGTTTTTGATCCGAAACAATTTGTTGCCAAACTATCGTGTTACATAAGCAAAAATACGCAACGCAGCAGTCTTCTCGCATTTGAATGGTTGCCAATTTATGTTGAATAAGAATCAAGTGCCGTTCCATAAAATTTTGCTTAACTCAATGAAAAGAGTCAGCAACTTTATGCAGGGTTGTCCTTTTAAACGCGATACCCAGTATTATTTTCGTGAATTACGTTTGAATTTAGAGTCAATACCAGCGCTGTCATTCGAAACCGATATGAACTTATGGATTGATTTTTTGTATGAACGTTCGAAGCTTTTTTCATTCTACATCGACAGTCGCATACGGTTGAAGCGCAGTGGCTTAGGAACAAAACAGCGCGCTTGAGTTAAGAATTTATATAAATGCTTTTTGACTTGATTTTCTTGCTAATGTAGATTTGAACGATTCCGACACATTTCGCTAAGACAAAATAAAGGTAAGAAACTACTGTTTATAAAATCATGACTTAATAAACTTTTCAAAAAAACTTACACTAAAAAAAGTATTGGCACAAAATGCCGAAAACTCTTTTTCAATAATTCTAACTCTGTATAGGCAAAAGTAGAGACAGAGATAGAGTAGTATATATAGATACATGCCAAGGTAAGGAGAGAGACGAATATAGAAATGTAAACAGAGATAGAAGCATAGATATACAAGTAGATATAGATATAGAATACAAATCAGAGATTATTGTAGGAGTAAAGATAGAAGCAGAAGCAGAGATAGCAATACAGCTCAATAGGAGAGGTAGAAGCATATATAGAAGTTAATATAAAGGAAAATATAGTCTGTAGATGTAGTGGTGAAAAACAAAAATTTCTACTCAAGTATGAATCCGCTAAACCGAGTAACTTACAAGTACGGTATTTTTATTGTTAACTAAGTTTTGATAGAGCAAAATGATATCGGGTAAAGAATTATGACTTTTAAATCCAAAATTCAAAAATTTTAGGACACACTTGGTTATTGGTTGTAATAGCCTTACCTTGAGACCACTTCGTTTTATAACTGGGTCAGTTGTAGTGGTTTTCAAGAAACAACTTCGAGGTTTAATATCTTTTTGACTTAATGTCGTTGTTAAAAGTGGAAAAGACGTTCAAAAATGTTCATAATGTCTCATCGTTTGTAGGAAACCAAGTTTTCCGGCGTAAAGTTTGTCGATACAAATATGTGTATGTTGTTGTACCCAATGGTTATTTTTTAGTACTAACGATGAAAAATGTTGAGAAATACCATAGGTATAGAAATATCTTCAACATTTTCGAAACATATTATCGAATTTATCCTAATCTGAGCGCTTTGAAAAACTTTTCAAAAATACAACTGCTTCCAAAGCTTAAACACAGCAGAAGCATATTTTACTATTTATACGCATAAAGAGTTGTAAACTGTTCGCATCATTAATCCTTTCAACAAGAGCGTATTAAAGCCGAACGCATCATAACTGAAGCTACATCCAACAACATAAGTAATACAAATTGGCCGCTGATAACTGTATAAATTTTTTTATATTTCCCGCTTACAATTTTTGTAGGTTTATGGCTCTTGGTTTACGTTCACTTTTACCTGTTGTACCAGAACAACAATAAAAAGGTTTATGACTTACGCTTTTTACGAAAATTTTGCAAACTCTTTTGTTGTTGTCTACTCGTAGTTATATACGGTTAGATAGCTAGGGAATTCTGAAGTTGTACGTCAACTTCACCTTTCATGCAAAGTGGTATATGAAAAATAAAAAATTGAGAATAAGCAAAGCTAATGGCAGTAATGCCGAAAGTATGTAAAATATTCTGAAGGAACATATACAAGTATTGTTGTTGGAGCCGAATGTTAACGGAGAAATAGTTTATATAAATATGAATGATATACTGGGACTAAATCAAACTCAGCCTCATAGTGAGGAAACCTTTTTGATCAGCCTATAAGAATTTTATTTTCGTCACTTTTATGCAAAATGTTTTGGTTTCTATGAGAGTAAGGTGGTCTCTAGTTTTTTAGCCGTTTTTTGCGTTCATTGCGTATAATATTTAAATTAACATATTTGTTGGGAAATTTTGAAGCATTTTGAGTAATTAATTGCTCGTCGTAATTCAATAATCTGTAAGGTCTTCGAAAAATTTAGAATTGCTACCGCTTATTCACATTTCTTGGCAATCATACGCATGATTAATAAAAAAAATTCGATGATGCTTCTGTTGGGTTGTATATTCTTAAACACACAATATTAAGTATTACATATATGCAGAGGGACGATTATTGTAGACATCATAGAAAACGATATCGGTATGTATCGAGTTGTATTTGCTATTAACATACAATTTTTTTCAAACCCTTATAACAGGAGCTGTGCTAGTTCCATCCTTTAAAAAAATTTAAAATAATGATTTTGGTATATACAGTATTAGAGCTAGGCAATAGTCTAAGGGTCCGATTCCTGTCTAATTCAACAATAATCAATAGTCAATAGCCGTTATGAGCCGGTTTAGTTTAGGTTTATCCATTTAGAGATTCAAGTTTGACTCGGACTCGGACAAAAAAATAAATGTTTAATCTTTCATAACCTATAACTTTTCACGTCGTTAACAAACAGCTGCCAAACACACTAATTGACATATGGAGATAGAACTTCACACAACTTACTTAACTTGACTTTAAAAAAGGTTGTAACAAACTAGGAAAACACATTTTTATCGATTAGGCTTGCGTGGGCAGTTTAAATGGTCTAGTCCGGGTCAATTAGACCAAATATGTATATAGTTCTTCGAAGCGAATGATAGTGACTGCTATGTATTGTGAGCAAGTAAATTAAGATTCATCATTATGTGAAGCCCTAACGTACGTTAAAGCTACTCATTTAGTGATGCGAGTGTTCTCTTCACTTAAATAACAAGCTACCTTCAGAGAGAAACTTGTGCAATATATGTATGCCAGCGTTAAGCTACTTTGCGTTAAACCATAATTATTTGCAAAGTAATTATATGCATGTAGTTTCTAATAATTATTAACACTGAAAATTAGCAAATGATGTAAATTTTAATGCAAATACTTCACATGCTTATGGCACTAACTATATGTGTACAAGTATATTGCAATATAATATGTTAAGAGCTTGGAGAGCATTTGAGGTGAAACATGAATTATTGGAACACAAGGATTTGTAAAGTTCTTAGGTGAGTGTTATTAAAGCATTACATATTTACAGCTATACAATTATATATAGAAACTTAGTTGTATATATATATATATATATATATACGTGCAATAAGTTTTGTGAGGTTTCCATAAAAACAAAAGAATGCTCCGAGAATGTGGTAAGCTGGAGAAAAAAAGAACGTGTGTAAATTGAATTTCAATGTTCAACTAGTTGATGCCCTAAGAGACAATAACAACAAAATAATAAAACACAGGCAATGATAGTGTTAATAAAACCAATTTGCTTTTACCGCATAAAGACAAGAGGCAGCTTAGAATAGACGTAAGCAGTGAGCACAAGCAGCTAAGTAAGAAGCTTCATGGGTATTACACACAATGGATATATGCAGAGTTATACATCTATCTATAAAATGTATATTTAGTTTATATATTATAGGTATATGTATATGTGAACTTATTACGCAAAGAAACTCTGTGGTTTTTGTCGCTACTTTCATATGTATTTCTTATAGGTTACACATATGTCTTTATATATATATTCTATATAATTATATATTGTACCTATATGTATATATCTGTAATGTTCTTTCGCTCTGCGTCAGATATTCGGTGCTAAGCACGTTTTCACTTACAAGCGATTTGGCTGCCTTTAAGCTTA